CTTGTGACTGTTATCTGGCAACTGTGCTGTGGGACTTGTGCGGCTGGGAGGTGCATAGGTTGTGGGCAAGGGAACTTGGGGCTTTCCTTCCGCCTTTGCCTCGCCTCTCTGGGGCTTCTCAGTAGAGGGGCGGCGGTTTGGCGAAGAGCAGGGCTGGCTTCCAACAGGCTAATGCGTTCCCTGGGTCTGAGGCTGCGCCAGGTGTCAGCCCCATACTCCATCCCAACACAGTGAAAATGTCCTCTTCTTGGCACCGGCCCCAATAACTGGGCTTTCCTCTGGGCCATTCCCTCCACTGCTGTTTATCACACCGGGCCCCAGGAGTTTGGGCCCAGGGGGACTCTGTTCACCACACGGACGTCACTCCCCTCCCCTCCCACTCCCTGGCTCTGAAGAGCTGTTGCCAGGGTGTGGGGGGAGGAGGAGGTGAGATGGGAGGACGGGTACCTCAGTCCTTCCTCTGTACTCTGCAGCCTTCCCAGTGGCAGGCCTCTCTCAAGGTGGCATGCCGCCCCAGGGGGCACTCATTAAAGCTAGCCAGGGTGAGTGACTTAAGTGGAGAGACTGTGAGACAGACCTGGGTGACAACAGGGGGCTCTGGAAGGAGGTGGGAGTGAAAGAGGGGTCTTGCAAGAGAGATGAAAGGCCCTCCAGAGATGGAGGTATCTGTGGGGCCGTCTCTCACCTCTCCTAGACCTGCGGGGAGCAGGGGAGCTGCTGCTTTCACACATGCCTCTGTGGGGCAGAGGACTTTGTCACAGTCCCACCTGGAGAAACCGTTTCCAGTGACAGGGTCTGAGGCAGGAATTCTCTAAATCTTGCCTGACCCTCCCTTCCCTTCTTCCCTATCCCATGAGCTGAAGCCCTGCTGTGTGTTCCAGGGTCTTCAGAGGAGCATCCTGCCACCATCCCAGGACGCTGGCCCCACGTCCTGTTCCCCTGAAGCTCTGACACCACCTTCTCTCCCCGTGCCCCACCTCCACCCTGGTGTGCTTCCGTGTGCATGTCTGTGTACAACCTCCCTGTCCTCCCTACCCTCCTGGCTAAAGCTTTCCCAGCAGGTTTAGCGCCCAGGGATCGAGTTCCCATCTCAGCTGGAGAGGGTAACCCTCAGGCCACCTGGGCATTGCCCATTCTGATGCTTCTCCCTTGGCCTGAGCCATCAGAACACCTGTCTTCTCTCAGCTCCCCCACCCCAGTCTCCCTCCAGTTCAGTCAGGCCTGCGCCCACCAGTGGGCATGGTGTAATCTCCAGCTATGCAACATCGCCTCTGGCTCCTCTTTCCCCTTCTCCAGGGGGGCACGGGGGCCCAAATTGTGGGGACACCATGGCCCATTACCCATCAGGGGGTTCAGCTTCACTTTCACGTGGAGAGGGCAGAGTGAGGAGAGAGGGGAGGCCAGAGAGGGAGAGGCTGGGCAGGAGGCACAGCTGCTCACCAAGGTTTTCCTGGGCAGCAGGGCCCACCTGCCTGTCAGTACGGAGCCTGCCTGGACCCTGAGTCTGTGCTCCTTGGGGGCCTGGCAGTTGGGGCACCCCTCTTTCCTCTGGATGGACATCTGGGTGGTACAGGTGGCGGGCTGTTGCCTCAGGCCCGTGTTCTTGGCCAGTTGACACTTGGACGTCACACCCTCATGTGGGACTGCCTGGCCACCTCACGGGCCCTGACGGGGAGGAACTCAGCTCCTCCTCAGCCCGTTTCTGAGACCGAGATCCTGGTGTCGGAAGAGGGGAAGGGGGACCCCTGTTATTATTTTTGCCTGTATTGACCATTTCTGCCTAGGTCTTCTCACACAGACAGCCTCACCTCCCACACACGCACAGATTTAGAAAGAAAACAACTCTTTGGTCTATTTTCTTGGTAGCTTTATTGATTGCCAGGGAAAATGAAAACCAGAAAATTAATTAATCTCTAAAATTAAACTTTACACTGAATGTTTCTTGTTTCTCTAATTAGAACCTCTGCTAGCAACTGTGGCTACACACACACAGTGACACACACCCTCACACCTACACGTTTGCACTCTGGAACTGTCAGAGGGTGTCAGGCACAGACGGACTCTAGGTTGCCCGGACAGGCACACGCGCAGTCACTCCCAAGCCCTCTTGGTGCTCTGCTCAGCAGCGCTGCTGATTGGAAGGAGTCCCTGGAGAGCAGGCACCCCTGGGCTGTGGTTGCAGCCCATAACCCAGCCCTTGGGGGACGTGGGTATGGAGGCGCTGGACACAGCCCAAGGGGTAAGGGGGCAGGGCTCACCCTGAATCCATCCCTCAGGTCCTCTTGTGGCCCTGTAGGCTGATGTCTTTTCTGTGGTGTGGCCTCGAGGTAGGCAGCCAGAGTGACAGGGACTCGTGGAGGGCACCCGAAAGACTCCATGTGTCCTGGGGACAAGGGCTTATGGGGTGGGCTGGGCCTGGCTGGGGAGAAGACAGGTCTCTGTTAATTGGGTGCATCACACTGTGGCCTTTCTGTCGTGGATTTCCAAGCGCAAAGATTGTACAAATCAAACTGGTGGATAATAAAGTTGCGGATGACTCACTGACTTCCTTTTCAGTGTGGCGCTTCTTCCCGTCTCCTCCTCGTCCCGTGACTAGCTTTCTGGGCTGCATGGCAGGGCTTGTGCCATACTTCTCTCACAGTCCTCATCCATGATTGCCTCCCCCAAGGAGGCCCCTGGGCTGAGCACCTCCTGTCACCTTCGCTGTCCCCCTTCTAGGCTGAGGGTTTGGGGACGAGGAGCTGGCATGGCCTATAGAATCAGATCACTTAAAGCAGAGTGGCAGGGGTGAAGATGGCAGAGCCAGGCATAGCTCTTCTGCACCCCGGGGAGTGACTATGCATGCGTGTGAAGGTCAGGGTCTGCTGAGTAGAACGGAAAACAATGGGGAGGTGTCAGGGAGCTAGGCAGCCCTCCTGGGACAGCCTGGGCAGGCGTGGTCTCTGAGTCCTTTCATTTTTTCCATTCTTGGAACAAGTTGGTCATTTATAAGGGTTCGGCAATACCCTTGCCCTGAGCGCAGGGGCCAGGTCCCTACTTCAGACCCCTTCTTCTCTATCCCAAGCTCCTCTCCTTGACTCATATCTTTCTTAATATGACACCTGACCTCTCGGATATACGTAGTCTCCCCTGTCTCCTCTCTCTGAACCAGTGTGATGCTCCACAGCAGGCCTAGCAGGGAAATGGAATGAGGGATGGGGCTGGAGCAGTGACCCAGGTAACGTCACTGCCTGGCCTGCCCCCATCTTACTACACAGAGTACTCGGGGTCATTGGCAGTGATTGGCAACATTAAATGCCCAGTGTTCAAGGCCCGCTGGCGGGCTGCTTCTCTGTTGGCGTGGAGGGCCTGGCCAATGAGGTACTCGCTCTCCTGGGCTACATCCGACAGGCGCAAGTCAAACTCCAGGAGGGTCTTGTTGTCTGACATGCCTTCCAGTAGCTGCTTCCCGCCATCCTGGGAAAGGGGTGAAAGGGAACGGGTCATTTCATGTCACTACGTCACTACGTCAGGCCACTTGCATGCACACACATTTATGCATAGATGTGACTATGACAGAAACTTCACAAAACAATGCTTAACCTATTTTGCAGCATCTGACATATTCCATTCCCATTTCATTGAAAAAAAAAAAAGGTAGTCAATGAGACCAACAGATGGCATAAGGGTTATGTCACTGGACTTCCACATGGCGGACCGCAGTTCAAGTCCTGGACCTAACGTCTTGAAACTCAAGCCAGCTGTGTGTGTGTGTGGTGTGTGTGTGTGTGTGTGTGTGTGTGTGTGTATATATGTTTAAAATCCCAAGAGGATAATGGAGGAGAAGGGATTATGGTGTGGCCATTCCCCCGAGGGATGATTTTTCTTTGTCTCTCCAACTAGTGTACATGCTCTATAGGAAAAATCTCTAAAAAAAAATGGCAGTCAAGACTAATTAGATTTCTGAACCTCGGTAGTTTGCAAAACACAGATCTCTGGCAATGATGGTAATTCCATTCGGTGGTTCAGCCATAGCCATGTAGGACAAACCTCTCTATTGACATGTGAGGGGGATGGTTGGGCAAAGAGGCTTCTGGGAAGGTTCTACTCGCCCTGAAAGGAGAACATAAGAAAACAAAAGAGAAAGGGTATTAACCCTTTCTCTGTGTCCCTTATATAAGATGTCAGAACTGCAGGGGCCACCTCAGACCATGAGAAGAACACCCGAGAGGCTACAGCCACATGGCTTGGTGAGTACAACAGAATGGCATTGAGCTAAGGGGTTTACCAATCCCAGAATTCCCTCCCTAGGGCTTCGGGTTATGAGAAATACTGACTATTCCTCCCATTGAAGCCATTTCCTAGTTGAACTTTCTGTTCCTTGCAGCCAAGAACTCTCGAGAGACTGTGTGCATGTATGCATGCATGTGTGTGCAAGAGATAGAGAGAGAAAAGAAGGAGAGTTTGCACACAAGGCTGTTCTCTTGGGGAGGCTTGGTAGAGGGTTCAAGGGCCTTACAGGAATACATGGAGGGTGCTCCTTGGTAGTCCTCACAGTTCTAGTGCCTCTGGGTTGAGTGGGCCAGTGCAAAAGATATTCATGTTGAGCTCCAGCCTCGATGATGCAGTCAGTAGCATACTGAGCCACAGTGCTGGAAGCCACCTAGGTGATCATGAGTTTGGGTCCCTGGCTGACCTGAGACCTGCTAGGTATGTGTGCACATGCCCAAGATTTTGATGAGCTGGAGGGCTTGGAGAAGAGGGATCATGGCATGATGAGACCCTACTGAGGGTGCTTCTCTCTCTCACTCATGTGCATGAATATAATAAACAAACAGAAAAAAGATTTTCATTTGGAAGGCAGAATGCTGCTATTCTAAGGTTGTGGCCCAGCAGTGTGTTGTGAAGTCAGTTTAACGGGTCACAGAAGCATTCTTAAAAATGAAATAGAGGGGGCCAGCAGGTGGCATAATGGTTAAGGCACTGGACTCCCATGTGGTCAACCATGGTTTGAGTCCCAGAGCCAGCAGCTTGAAACTCATGCTAGGCATGTGTATGTTTGTGCCCAAAATCTCAAGAGGAGAATGGAGAAGAAGGGATTGTGGCATGGCCATCCCTCCTAGGGGGTGATTTCTTGCTTTCTGTCTCTGTTTCTTGGGTGAGCTCTCTCGCCCTATAGCAAAAATATCTAAAAAAGAAAAAAAAGAGAGTAACAAATAAAGAAAAACATCCTCATGTATCAGAAGCATGAAAGTAAATCTCAATGATTTTTTTTTATTATATATGTTTGCTAAGTGTGCATGCAAATTGCATTTTTAAAAAAGATTTGTGGGACCAGCAGTTGGCGTAATGGGTGTGTTGCTGGGCTCCCATGTAGTTGACCATAGTTCGAGTCCAGGACCTGGTGGCTTAAACTCACGCCGGGCGCATGTGCGTGCGTGCTCAAAATCCTGAGAGGAGAAGGGAGGAGAAGGGAATGCGGCGTGGCCATCCCCTGGGGGGGGGGTGATTTCTCGCTTTCTGTCTCTCTGTCTCTGTCTTTCTGGTGAGCACATGTGCCCTATAGTAAAAACCTCTCTCTCAAAAAAAAAGTAAGATTTGTTTGCCAGAGGGTGTGTATACTCATAGGAGAGAGACAGAAGGGGAAAGTGAGAAATCACCTCCCATAGTGGATGGTCGCACCACAATCCCTTCTCCTCCCTTCTCCTCTCAGGATTTTGGGCATGCACGTACACACCCTTGGTGTATTTTGCAGGTCACCAGGTCTGGGACTCCAACAGCAGAGCCAACATGTGGGAGCCAACCCCTTAACCACCTTGCCACCTGCTGGCCATAAATTGCAATTCTTACTCCAGGATTGGTCAAGAAAATTTGAGAGACACTGTCTTTTAGAATGGACTCAGGTTTCTTGGGACCAGCAGATGCATAAGGCTTACCTCGCTGGACTCCCATGTAGTCAGTTGCAGTTTGAGTCCTGGACGTGGCAGCTTAAAACTCATGCTGGGTGTGTGTGTATATCTGCCCAAAATCTCGAGTGGAAACAGGATTGTGGCATGGCCATCCACCCCGGAGGGTGATTTCTTGCTTTTTGTCTCTCTCAGTCTCTTCAGTGAGTACATGTGTCTTATAGCAAAAATCTCTCTTATAAACAAAAATAAAGAAAGGACTCAGGCTTTTCATCAATCTTGGTTCGATTATAGCCTGGCCACTTTCTACTGACTGAGTGCTCTTGGGCAATTCATTAATGTCTTTGAGACTCAATTTTCCACATTTTGTGGAAAGTGTGCTTGAGAATATACATCCTGGGGCCAGCAGTGGCATGGTGGGTAAGGCACTGGACTCCCATATGGCTGGCTGCAGTTTGAGTCCTGGACCTGCTGACTTGTTTTCTCACTTTCTCTCTCTCTCTCTAGTGAGCACATGTGCCTTGTAGCAGATTTAAAGAGAATAATAAAAAGGACTAGCAGATGGTGTGGTGGTTAAGGTGCTGGACTCCCAACATGGCCAACCATGGCTCAAGGACTGGACCTAGTAGCTTGCTTTCTCACTTTCCCTCTCTCTTTTTTCCTGTCTTTTTCTGATCAAATTGGAAAACTAATTATAAAAACAAATAAAACTAAAGAAATCATTCTTTAAAAATTTAATAATTAAATATTATTTTAAAAAAAGAATATATGGGACCAGCAGGTGGCGTAATGGTTACATCACTGGACTCCCGTGTAGTCGACTGCGGTTTGAGTCCTAGCTTTAAACACGCTGGGCACATGTGCATGTGTGTCCAAGATCCTAAGAGAACGGAGGAGAAGGGATTGCAGCATGGCCATTGTGGCGTGGTGATTTCTTGCTTTCTGTCTGTCTCTCCAGTGAGCACATGGAAAAAATTATCTCTCTTAAATAATAATAAGCTATACCCTCATCGGATAACTGTGAGGATTAAAGGGAAAGTCATGGATACTGGGATATATACATTAGGATGCATTGTATGCACACTCAACTGAGTATGTAGTATGTGAAGTCTATGATCTTAATAACTACCCCATGACAGTTGGATTCCACACCCACCCCTAAAGGTCCCCAGAAACAGAACCTCACCAGCCCGATGTGGTTGCAGGACAGGTTGATGCTGGTGAGCGTGGTATTGATGGCGAGGACTTGTGCGAGGAGCGTGGCGGTGGGCTCCGACAGCTCGTTGCCGCCAAGGTGCAGCGTGGTGAGGCACTTGTTGGTCTGCAGGGCGTGGGCAAGTGCCTGGCCGCCCTCATCCTCGATGCAGTTGAGGCGTAGATTGAGGGAGACGAGATGGGTGTTGTGTGCCAGGGCGTGAGCCAGCGACTGGGCACCGGGCGCGCGCACCTGGTTGTTGGCCAGGTTGAGCACACGCAGACGGCTGTGGCTCAGCAGCTTGGCGGCACCGCGGGCACCACGGTCCCCAATGAGGTTGTGAGACAAGTCTAGCTCCTCGAGAACGGGGTGGTCCAGGAGGCTGCGGATGAGGATGCGTGCCTTGTCGTCGTCCAGCTGGCTTCGGGTCAGCCTGAAGATCTGCGGGCATGTAGTGGGTCTGCAGTATTTGCTAGCCAGGGAGGGGGCCACAGGGGGTCTGAGGCTCTGTCACCTGGTGTTGGTCACCTGGTTGGCTCTTGGGAGGGGCGGACCTACCCACATGGCAAAGTGGTGCAGAGCTGGTGGCAGGTCACAGAGGAAAATTCTACTATGGAGCAGTTATGGCCGTGCATTGCTTAACAACAGGGATACCTTCTGAGCAATGCATCGTTAGACGATTACATCATTGTGCAAACATCATGTACACTTACTCAAAGCTAAATGGTACAGCCTGCTACACACTTAGGCTATGAGGGGACTTCATAGAGTTCATGGGAAACTGGGAGGAAAGTACGAGTTTATTTTGATGTAAAAAATTTGTGTTTGAAATGATACCTAGTTTCTTCATGATACGCACTTTCCGTGAACTTTTGGAGGAGCCCTTGCATATGGTTAGCATGTATGCTGTTTATGGGGCCACCGTCATGTAGTCTGCTGCCGAGACGTTATCACGTGGCAAATGACCGTGCATGTGCCGGCACGCTGCTCAAACAGCTCATAACCGTAACCGCTGACCCTCAGCGTCCTGATGAACAGGAAGCAATGGAGGTGCGGGCGGTTAAGTCATTTGCCCAGAGTCTGTAGTGAGTGAAAGAGGCAGAGTTCAATCCAGGTCTGTCTGATGCTCCAGCCCCTCTACACGCCCTGCTCAGCTGGCAAGTCCCCCAAGGCAAGGAGACGACCTCTCTGGAGGAGCGTGCCAGGGACAGAACCAGAGAAAAGTGGGGAGAGTGGAAGCAGGAAATGGATGAGATAAAGGAACGAAAGAAAAGGGCGAGGCTAGCATTAGGAATACTGGACCGAGGGCCCCGCCTCCTTCCTCCCCATGAGCTAGTTCCACTCCTCTGTCCCTTGAGACCTCTGAGTGGCTGGTCTGTTCTCTCCTTTCAGTACATCCTTCATAGCCAGCTTACAGTTTTTTATTGTTTTGCTTTATAGATTTTTTCCCCCCATAGGGTGTGTGTACTCACCAGAGAGAGATAGAGTGAGTGAGGGAAAGTGAGGAATTGCCCCCCCCCCGGGAGTGATAGCCACGCCACAATCCCTTCTCCTCCATTCTCCTCTTGGGATTTTGGGCATGCACATATATATGCCTGGTGTGTTTTGCAGGCAGCCAGGTCCAGGACTTGAACTGTGGAGTGGGCTATGTGGGATCCAGCATCTTAACCACCACCTCACCTGCTGGCCCTAGTTTACAGGTTTTTTTGTTTTGTTTTGTTTTGTTTTTTGCTATAGGGTGCGTGCACTCGCCAGACA